TCAGTTAACACACAGCTTCTGTTTTTTTCTTATTTCTACATGATATATTTCATAATTAAACAATCATTTTTATTTTAGTGGATTTTAATGTTGTGGCTGAGGCCATTGGACTTTTTATTGATTTTAAGTCTTCTATTGTTAAATAAATTATATTTTAATACTTCACCGCTATATTTTTCTATTCCCTCGGCTGCTCCACTGCTCTGTCCGTTTTTTTTTATTGTTCCCCTTCTTAAGGTAAAACCTGGTGTCCACTTACACTCATATTCATGCGTGCTCCAGGAAACGTCACCTACACTGTTTAAAAAAGAAAGAAAATGCATAACCCAAACAGTGATACACACTCGACTTTTAAACTGTCGCGTGGTCGTTATAACGTTAATCTTAGCTCAATCACCCCATAAAGGAACGCCCGATCGGGGCTCTCTGTGGTGACTGGAGCAAGTCACTAAACAGGCTAACAAATAACAAATGATGATTACCTGCAGGTAAACACAAGCGAGGCAAATGACAGAGTAACCCATCTGGCTGCATCGCGATGTGGCCAAACAGGACCGGATTGATTCTAATGTGCAACACACACTGTGCCACAGCGCAGGGTCATGGAGATGCTTACAAAACAGGCATTTCCTTTATTATTTTATACGACCGGTTCTTAAATCTTGGTGCCAGCAGAATATTTATCAACATAAAGAAAGATATTACACATAATAAGCACACAGGGACACCGGAAATCACTTCTTAGCAGATGGTCACTTTGCACATCACCCGCCCTTTATCCAGGTGGGAGGAGAGAGACGCAGAAAAGCGGAAGTTTTTCCGCCTCAGCGTTTACAGAAAGTGAGAGAAAGCAGCGGGAGAACAGTGCCTCACACTAAGCTGCTTCACAAACACTGAAGAATGATTTTCCATCAGCAGTGATTCCAGGTGTTCACATTTTACATGAAGTATTGAAGGTAAGCGCGGCATTAAGTTCTGCTTCCTTCTGGAAGTTCACATTCGTAGTTCTGCTTCCTTGTTGGAGTTGTTTTCTTATGTGTGTAACGAGGAATGAGATATAATAATAAGTTATATTAGATCATGTGACTGTTGCTGGTTTGAAGCAGAGGTGCAGAGCTCTGTGGGAAAGAACCGGAAGTCACGGTCACGGTAGAGTTCTGGGTTGTAGCGATTTTACCGGTTGAACCAGTTTCTCCCATAGTCACGTGATCTTAACCCTTG